ATCATCTGTATTTCCAGTCGATTTTGAGTTCATGCTCTTTGGAATATCTGGAACATGATCAGATTGAGTGTTAATAGTGGTAAACATTCACAATACACCCGTGCTCCAAATATAGAAATTTCGCATGATTAGATCCAGTAGGAAAGGAGTTACGACTGAAAAGTACGGCTGAAGAACCATTTCACCGAAGACTTTTGAGCGCTACTGTACGTGATTGTGAGCAACTTGTCACTACACAACCCTTCTGCCCTTTTCATTCTTTTCTTCTATGTAAACAATTTAATTGGTTGAATGGCTGCATATTAAAGCTCCATGCATTTCCGTCTTGTTTCGTGACACCCGAAATCTGTCATTGTTGTTGTTATGTTCGTTGGTTACCAATCAACTATGCTGGTCCTCGGCGACATGCCCTCCTCAACAAAAGCCGTTCGACGCCTCTGACATATTCCAGACTTGGTAGAATGCCTATTATACTCATAGTCAACCCATGCATGATATTTTTCACTAATAAAAATTAGAACAACTGCCATCTTTCAAAATGTCAAGAAGTTTGCGAAAGCAAACTCTCTGGGCAAACAGGAGCTGAGTTTCTGTTTTTGGTTGTTTGCATTACCACGGAACATGACTGACACTTTTGCTCCGTTGCCACTTCCTTGTTACAAGGGTTCTAGCAGGGGGTGGCCTTGAGGTCTGCCAGGATTCGAAGATATTCTTTGGTAGTGGAAGGACCTTTGGACCTAACTAGTAGGACCTGCTTTTATGGAGTTGAGTATAGTGTTGAGGTCTTACCAGTAGAATCATATGTGTATGAGAACGAGGCTGAGCTGGTCTTTTTCTTTTCGAGAAGGGGCACACATCTAGCCTTCAATCAGAACCACCCCGGCATTTGAATGCCCATCCTGTGAGGCCATTGAGTGGGTGACTCAGGCGGTTATGCAATTTAATGAGCTTTCATCCTTGTTGCAAGCCAAATCCATTAATAAAAGAAATTGTGGGACCGCCTCCTCTTCAGCCTTCACTAGGAATAATAATTTGAATGACCTTGTAAAAGGCTCATGCTGACTGCAAACGTTGTTTTCCTTTGCCGATCAGAAAACATTGTGAAGTGTGATTTCTTCCCTAGTGCTACATAAAGCTAGACTGAAGCCTGCTAACAAGCTTTCTTTGCGGTGAGCCCCTGTTGACCGACCATAGCCCGTGCTTTCCCACGAATCGGGTGGGATTAGTCGATGGATGAAACTCGTGCTCAATGTACTTTTGAATCATAGAGCGTAGTATGACCATGGCTGTTATGTTCGGCTGAATGACAATTGGAGGGTGACCAGGCGTGTGATAGCGGCGGCACCCCACGGGTAAAGGCGACTAGCGTGCCTCTAGTATATTGGAATTTCTCCTACACCCGCCCCCTTCATTCCCACTCACTTCCTTCTCGTCTTCAATCGCATTGCAATCGTTTTCATGATGAATATATCGTCTTCTATGGTGATTTCAAAGCTCTCACCCGATTTCAGNGTGCTGAAGCGGCCACGATGGAAGTCTCTGAGACGATATTCCAACGACTCTATCTTATCTACATGCCGATCTGTGTTCTCGTTGGATCTACTGGGAACATCATGGTGTGGATTTTGATCAAGTAAGCTGCAATTTTTTTAAAATTGAACGGGTTCAAATCTTTACGTTTGCTATTCTCTTACTCTTCATCAATACGCCCAGAGAAAGTGAATTCCCAATGCTCTTTTTCGTATGAACCTATCAACCCTCAACCTTTGGACCTTCCCGTGGAGCGATCCAAGCTGCAACTCAAATCGAGTTTATTGCCTCAACTATTCCAGTTGTTCGACGTTTTCTCCACAGGATCTCACAGCCAGATTCGATGGTCCCAGTCTTTCTCATTTCTTTTCCTTCCCTGCTTCTGTCGCCTTTTTCTATCTTATTTCAGGTTCCGCTTTAAGTGCTCTAGTTCCTCAGAACTTTGCTACTTACATTATTATTGTTTACTTAAGATCGCCGACTTTTTTAGAATTACTTTCTTTAACGTTTTCAGGACTACTTTTATAGCTTCCGTACATACACTCTGAATGGTGTCCTTATTCAGGAGCCCCCAGGAAACTTTGAACCTTTCTAGATTTTTCTTCCGTATGCTATTGGATTGTAGGGAAAGTATCTGCCAAATTTTTCGCACTAGACCAGATTTCTTCCGAAACATTCTGGGAGCTCCTGGGTTTCAATAGGACACTGCCCAAGGCGTAAACACACCATATCTGGCTATCCCTTCCTTTCTTATTCACACACCAGTGGCTGAATTATGTACCGATATTCAACATGTACTTTTTTACGAATTGGAATCCGGTCACTCTCTTTCGTACTCATTTCAAGCTTGTGTCAAGCGGTTGACCTTGAATCTCCTTCTAAGTGGTTTTGGGCACAACTCGTTCCCAGGCTTCACAGCCTGGCTACAAGAGGTCGAAGATGAACTTCGATCTGGGCAACCGATTGCGATATCATGAAACCTACTGATATGTTCGCGCATATGTGCAAGTGAAGTGCCCTTTCATAGTAATTCTGTGGAAGCTTGCTACAAGTCCCGAGAAAAAACCTGACTTTTGCGAGACTTTCGACTAATACTCTCCGAACAAACTAATGGAATTACGGAATTTATTGGCCTGGTCTCCAGCATAGCACTCATTTTTCATTTGCGTTTTTCTCACTGATTTCTGGTCAGGACGATCGGAAATTTCACTCAAAGCAAAAAGAACAACGAAGATAAAGGTTTTCTATGAAAGCTGAAGAATTCCGACAAAAGATCCTGTCCCTTTCCTAGAATACAATGCCACTAAACAATAACAAAAGGTGCAACTTTTCTCAGCTGTTCAAGAAATGAGGGAGCTGAATAACAGCTGCAAAGCATCAAAAAATTACAATTCTGTAACAAAACAACTACAAAAATGTGTCCTGCAAAAGTTTTCCTTTTGATTCGAAGCCATGGCAATCTTCCATCACATTTGGGGATGTCAACAACTTCCTTATAACGAATTCTCTCAGAGAATCTTTAAGAGGGGATGTCTTAATGATAGGCATAGCCCAGCACAATCGTATAAGCAACTATTCTTCTCCGTCCAGCCAATTCGCCGACTACTCGACTGGGATGTTGTCAAAAAGGTCTCTACCCTGGCGGAGAAGTCGCATCGAAAATATCTTCAGGCGAAATATGTGATGGGCACGAGTAGCGGCAATAGTTTGGCTAATGTAAGATCGCATGTCGCCGAGGCATGACGCCATAAGACGCCATGTTTTCCATTTGGAGATTGAACTCTGTTACTCAAAGGCTAATTTTAGATGTGTTGTTGGGACCTTTCGTTACGTATGGCCAGGCCAATTGACTGTTTACTTTGGGTAACTGAGTTAGTGATGGAGTCTATCCATCGCGATCGCAATCTAGTAAAAGCAGACAAGCAATGAAGCTCTCGGGGTAGTCCGGTCTGGAAGAGCCATGTACTTGACGTTCACTGATTACCGTTTAATTCAGTACAGTGTTATTCTAGTTTGTACTGCGGAATAGAATAATACGACCCAAGACCACCTCCCACCGTAATGAGTGATGAATGTTTTAAGCAAGAAAGTGTCGTTTTGGAATACGCCACATCTCCTACTTATAGTCAATGTTCTTTGGGTGATTGAAACACTGCACAGACGCAGGATTTTTTAAAGCTGACATTACTACTTATTCATTATTTGCTATATGTTCGATATCTACTCCCCAAATGGAATCAATCGATCGTTCAATGAATAATTTCCACCCGTCGTGAAAGACAAGTCTTCGAATCCGCTCCTTTCCGTTTGCGGAACCTCAACCACTCGGCAGATTGCAAGTGAAAAACTCAGAGTGATCTTTGCATCAGTGCAGTTCCTTGGTTTAACAGGGGGCTTATTGGGTCCATTAGTCAATCGCGACTCGGTATAAATAGCCACCATTATATACGCCACTGCACTTGTTGATTTTTGGTGCAAAGGCTCGAATTTCACAATCATGTTCAAAGGACTGGTTACTTTATCGGGTGTGGGTGGTCCACTGATCATACCATTACATGAGATTTAAGCCAAGGGAACGAAGATCCACTAGAAAACTATTTTGTTATAATTTTTTATTTGTTCACTACAACCTTTCAGGAACGAAGGTGATAACGATGTCCTCAGGTTTCAGTCAAAAAAAAAAACATTGACATAGGATTTTCCCACGGACTTTTTTCTGAGTAGGGACGGTAACAGATAGGGATATCTATTAAATTCGTGTTGTTTACAAATCGCTGCTATTCATAGCATCTTTATCGCCCGTGTAATTGGATTTTCGATGAAGACGGCTATTAGAAGGAAGATACAGCTCATTGAGTTGTAACAAGCCATTAGCTCACATCTCGAATGAAATAAAAAGGTAAGAGGGTAGAGGAAGGCGGCCGGAGAAGGACTTTGTGAATATTGCTCAGCGTTAGGTCTGATCCGTAGCTCGATGTATGGGTGATATGAACTACAGAGCTTCTGAAAATCCCTGTTTTTGCTCAATTTCAAAGAAACATGTGCTCTCTGACAATTTTCTGGAACAGTGCCAATTCATCCCAACGAGGAAGAAGATTTGAACTTTTGCCATCCGTCAGAAGTGCAAACCTTGTGTTGCAGGAAGTTGTGACACCACCATCAATCAGCTTAAGCGTGTTGTTTTTGATGGCTCAGAGATTCTTTGGGGTTTTGGTTTTTTGAATTTTTTTAGTAATTTTAATTATTTTCATTTCAGAAGCAACCGTATGCTGTCGAAACTTCCAACAAACACCTATCTGCTATGTCTAGCCGCTATGAGCTCTTTGTTCCTTTGTACATTGTTCGTATTTTGGCTAGAGGAAATGTCTTATCTTTATTTCGAGGTACGGATTATTTATTTATTTGTTTATTTATTTTTATTCCTCGCTAAATCTTTTTTAAATTTTTCTCCGAGTATGCTTTCGAACTTATCCCTCCCGGTATTCCATGTCATCGGATCAAAAGGGGGCTGAAAAGGGATCGCCAGTGTAAGCCGTGAAACCTGCCGAATTTCTCAGAAAATTGAATTAGAACTTATACCAGCTCAATGGTTACCACCTGAGGGGAAGAGCCCGAAAAGCCCATCCGGCAACCTAAATTCAATCACTACAAAGTCTTCCACCCAGCTGGCAGCGACACGACTGGCGGCACCTTGGAGCCGCAGTCTGTCATCAGTCATGTCGTAGTCACAGCAGAACTGCGATCAATCTGACGAGGATAGGAAGATGCCTGCCTGCACTTAGCCAGAAGCGTGTCTGCTATTTTTCTGCAACTTTCCGATAACATATTTTGCTTTTCCTTCAGTGTCAGACATGACAGCATATCCGCCTTCGCTTTACTCCGGAACCAATGACTAGTCGTCATGAAAACAAGTCTCAAAACAGGCAGTATGTAAACAAAGTGCTGTAGTTTACATCTTCAGCAGTATTTAAAGAACCCAAGTATCCTTTTGGCGATTATTGAACTGACAACAAATGTTTGAGGGAATGATCCGTTGAACTTTCAGGACAACTTGATCGGGCTTGAATTCCGTAATCTCAGCTGTAAAGTAAACCAATTTTTCGCTCACGTATGCGATTTCTCCAGTGTATGGCTAATTGTGCTGGTTTGCTGTGAGAGGCTTTTGCTTCTTCATCGAAATCGACGAACTCTGACCACGGAAAAGTAAGTTTTACGCTTATTGTTATTGTTGTTGTTGTTGTTTTTTGAGTACATTACCTAAACCCTTCCTGGAATCCAAGACTGTGACAAGCTTAGCTTAACAGTTTGCGATATATAGAGCCAACTATGAGCTGAGCTTTTAAGTACCTTGTCTATACTCCTGTGCTTACGAACTGAACAAAAGCTCCTCTCCGAAGCGCCTCTCTAGCATCCTCTCTGTAACCAGATCCTCCAGTTCACCCAACAGGCTTCTGAGTTGTTCGTTCAGAAGAGCTCCATGCCCTTTTTATTGATGTTTTTCTCGAGCTACCTGGCCGTGGCTCTAGTAACATGCCTTCCTGAAACTAGGTCTTAGAGATCCGACCACATCCAACAAGAGAAATAAAGAAGGGGATGGGAGGCTAGGGAAGGGGGAAGAAGGGGTGGGAGGCTAGGGAAGTTCAGCCCCGAGTTGATCTGACGTAGAATGCATAACCAGATCAAGCTTCGTCTTCGACCTTTTTCTTCTTCCCGGCTCCGAGGTGTTGGATTCATGAGTGCATCAAACCTCTCTAGAGAGGCTGAAAGCCAGTTACTTGACACGATTTTGAATGGACTTAGGCTGAAAAGTTCCGAATTCGAATTTATCAAGAATCTTAGACAGCTGGGGGACAGCTTGGCCATTAAAAGGTCAAATATACAATGAACTTGGAGACGAGTATGTTACACGCATACAAGAGTGTAATGTCTTTAGATGGAAATTCCTTGGAGACTCTCAAAACATTCGAAAATTCTGAATTCCCGGGAGTTTTCGAACTTTCCGAATACCCTAATACACAGCTTATTTCGTGTATGATTCCTACAACACCAAACGATATTTCAGGGCCTGTGCTCAAGTTATCATACTGATCATCGTGGCTATGATCTTCAATTCATGGATCCTTTATGTGGCTTCAATTCAACAAGGAGTTTGTGATATCGATCCCGATTTCGATAGGGTCTATCACGTTATGACAGTCATTGAGGTCAGTCAGGAGAAAAATCGGAGTACGGTTACAATATTCCTGGATCGGCGCAAGGCTGTAAGGTCGGCTTTAAAGACAGGTCTTTCAGGCAGGGCAGAGAGTGGGGGGGGGGGGGGAGNGTTCTCCCGGGGAAGTGCCTATCTCAATTTTTCGGATAATCGACTCACAAATTCAGTTCGACATCATTTTGACTCCAAATGCAAGTTGAATGTTGAAGTTCTGGGCCAGTTTTGTGGTGGTTCTGAATAGTTTATCGAAATGAGGGGCATGGCCGGGTAATATACCATATGCTAGACGATTACCCAAAAACTGACATGGCCACTACTTCCTCCACCTATGGAACCGTTGTTTCCAGAAGCCTGAAGGTCAAGTTCCTAAACTTTTTTCTCTCCAGTTTTGGAATAACGAGTGATTAATAAATCGTATACCGTTACAAAGCCGTCTTGGGGGAGGGGGTTGAAGTTCACTAGAGTGGAGAGCACTAAGCAGCTGGCTTAGTGACACCTTCTCAGCCTGCTGTCTCGTTTACATTGCTTCGGAATGTTTTCGGGTGACATCGGGATCCGTTGCTGTTCAGCACTGGCAAGAATGTTGCGATAAATCATCTGAAAACCTCCACTGATTTATCACAAACGCATGCATGTACTAAAAACAAAGGGGATCCGCGAAAAATTGCTCTCTAGGCTTTCAAAGTACATCAGAACAAAGTTGAAAACTGGCTTGCTACTCAGCTTAGTTCTCTCTGCCAACATAATGCAACTAAAGGGGCCCAATATGCTCGAACTTTTGAAAACCCAGATCGAAACCTCGGTGTCAATGTCGATTGATCATGCTTGATGAGCTATGTCCCTGGCTGCCATTCTGGGTTGTCCGGCTCCGGCATTTGGTAAGGGGACGCTAAAGCATTTGGTAAAGAGACCCAGTTAGTTAAGAGTACGTACTTGCAATTGAGAAAGTACTCGAGAACGGGTATTTTCGCTCTTCCTCATAAGGCTGGTGCCAATTGACTGAACAGAATTTGATTAGGGAACATTCTATGCGAAAACATCGCCACTGCTGGCCACGTTCCCATTTTCCGGTTGCACTATGCAGGGCAAAAATAGAAAACGGAGAAAAATAGAATTGCATTTCACCGGAATTTCGAAAAAAAAATCATATTTTCTTGTTTTTCAGACGATCATCTGCATGTTTGTGCCTTCACTGATCATTTTCACTTCAAATGTGTTCGTCATATGGAAACTTAATGCTCACATCAAGTAAGTATTAGTTCTCTATTTCGTTTTTCTTCATTTCCTTGACGAAATATGTCCCTTTTGTTGTCCATGATCATTTTCTCGAGTACAAAGAGCTCTATCAGTCTTCATGAGCTTTATTTAAAGTTGGCAACCTTTGAAAGGCTTTCAATGAAATTCATTTAGAGGCGTGAGAGCTCTATCCTACACTTTTCTACAGAGCTTCAGCTAACTGATTCATTTTCCCTCCTAATCCCATCAATGCCATTTTTTAAGCTGCCATCAGTGGTAAACACGATTATCCTGTGAAGGCTTACCAGCAGTGCATCTGCAAAGGCCTTCACTATACTAGTAATGTTTGGTCATTCCCTTTCATAGTCACCCAGAAGGGCTCCATGCACGAGACTATAAAAAAAAGGGTGAAGTCTCGGACATCACCGACTTCCATTCAGAATCGTTTGAATCGTATGTGGCCCATACAGTGAAATCCGGTGGTCGCCCGATGGAGAAGTCCGGGCCAGCCAGGGCTTTTACCTTCCCATAAAATACCAATTAGGTGACCTGGAAAGGACCAAAGGTTTCGTTGACCCTGGCGAGTACTGGCCTGGGATTCAGTTCCCAGACCATGAAGTATGATAGCGGGTCACCTGTAACTACACTACTCCACCGAGAAATATCTTTACGAACTACTTTCCAGAAAATATCCTGGCTCACCAACTGTCTCATTCCACACTCCCGACGCAGAAGCTCCTCTGACGTCCGCTACATCTGTACAAAGCCAAACTCATAGGAGCAACACACGGTTAGCCATCAATCATGAAATCTCCTTTTTGAATAAATGCATCTCAAAGGCCATTTTCAGAACATCACTCGGTCGATTATCCAATCATTTTTCTAATGACGCAGATAAACTCAAAAAGAAATTGAAAAGAGGTAGGCTATTAAATATTTCATGAGATACTCAGTCTCAGCAGACCAGATGGGAGCTCATGAATAGGTGAATAGGAGACCAACGGCTCTTCCGATCAGTCTAGAAAAGGTTCCAAGAAAAAGATTACTCCAGGGAAACAAGCTGCTTTATATGGTTACAGAAATAGAACCTTGACATCAAATTTAGCCAAATTCTATTGAATTCAGAAAGGAAGGGGTTACCTTAACTAAGAATGAGCCTAACCCCTATTATCCTACGAATTACCATTTCCGTTTAGTTTCCAATTTCAGAAACAGCTTATTCATTTCACTCTTCCCCATACCTGAGAACGCTGTCTTTCAGGTCTGAGATATACCGACGTGCAGTTGACCCGATCCCTGATGGTAGTTACATGGGTGTTCATTGTGCTCAACATGCCCAATTACGTCTATCGTATG